CTTTGTCCTCCAGCTTTTCTCTCTATAATCCAGATGTTATCTGATTTTGCATGTCCCTTCTTTAAAAGGACTGGCCAGGGCAGGGAGGGGAGGGCACTCCCTCCTTCAGGGACCAGGGGAAAAACATCCCCAAGTCCAGAGCAGGATGGGCACAGTCCCTGCCAGGCATTTGGTGGCAACAGAAAAGAAACTCCCCACGGACCAATGGTCCTGACATTGTCCAGGTACCAAGAGGCTGAAATCAAGCTTGGGAGAAAGGCCCTGCTTCCCTCGTGTGTCTTCTTGTGGCTCCCCTCATCCACTTTTCCCTCTAGCTGCTAATCCCCAGCAGCACCAAAACCACCTCACTCTTGTCCTCTGGCAGAGACAGTTTATGCTCTTACAAGCCAACCAAATATTTTCAGCACTTCCAGTTCCATCAGGGAGGGTTTTCCCCTCTTCAAGACATCATCTTTGGTAAACCCTCACACAGAAGAGGGATGCTCACAAGTTTTGTGTCTCCAAGACACACCCCTTTTAATTCCCTACAAAAGCACTGGGAAGAGAAATGGTTTGGGACACAAAAGCTGGCTATAAATAAACATACATCCATGAGGTCCTCAAATAAAACTTAAAGAAAACATCAACATTGCTCCACATGCAAATTGCAGAAAAACACAATGACGTTGATTCCTGACTGCAGTGGGGTTCAGGAATTTGGCTGTCTCTGGTAGGGCTGAACTCTCAAACCTGCCCTTGGGATCACAGAACAGAGCACAGCAGACTCCAACAGATGAAAGACTAGAACTACACAGCACACAGTAATCTGCCTGCCATGGAGATGAAACAAGGAAAAAGAAGAATGTTGAAGTTCAGTGTAATTACACAGGATTTGTCAGGTTCATCCACGGGTATATTGAGGCTGGATCACCAGCTGTACTGATTGACAGTGTTCACTGAAGAGAAGAGCACTGTATTAATCTACAGCAGCTGCAGACATGGCTCTGCTGAATGCTGCTTGACTCATTTCTTGCACAGACATTGTCTTTAAGGTGGTGAAGAAGAGCTCAGTGACTGCCTTTGTGCAGTCCCTCGTGCCAGCAACACGTGGATGTGCAGCCTGAACAAACACCCATCCCTGCAGCAGCACAGGCTGCATTGGAATTGCAGTTTTACTTTGTTAAATCCCCTAATTCCTCTCTAACAGTCGATTAGCCTCAACTATTAAACCCCACAGCATCTCAGGAAAGTATGGATAACTACGAAAAAGAAAAGGCTGCTACTCTTATAAAGAAATAATATCCACAAACCAACCAGCTTTTACTCACAGTTCTAATAAGAAAAATTAGTTTATCTGATGGAGCAGTGAAGTGCATTTTTTCACTTGTTTCATCTATAAAATCATTATTGACTTTTTCTTGGCCTGCAAAGGCCAAACACAAATGATGTGGTGGATCACAGCAGAGACAATTCTTCAGGTCAGTCAGATTAGAGTTAAACCCCAGCTGCATTTGGGAAGAAATTAGACAGAGACTATGCACCTTAGAAAAAAAGGCATTGTGATTTCCAGCATCCAGTTTTGATGCAGCAATCCAGGTTTCTTGACACATCAGTTCTCCTAACACTGGGCAGTGAGATTGAAAGGAAAACCTGGAAAGAAAACTGCAGAGTGATGTGTCTTTGATTTGCATACTCCAATTGCTGTGGTGGGGAGCGAGTTGAAGCCTTCTTCCCTTCTCCTCACAGTTTGAAAAAAGATAATAGTACAAACCCTGTATTATTTTTAAGAGAAGCTGTCACGATGAAAAAATGAAAACCTCAAAAAAAGGCTGATATACAGCATTACTTAAAGACTGTTTTGTTGAGAAAAACTGACCAAATGATTTACGAAAGGCTTTTAACAGGGCAGTCTTTGGATTACAGTGAAGATGAAAAATAAATGAAAATCTATTTCAAGTTTACTTTAGCCCAGTCATTTGACAGATGAGGGCAAAACCTGGCAAGAACACAAGTTTTAATCTTCAGATGTAGTGACTTTATTTGCAGTTTTGCCGATTAAAGTTTTCTCAGGGCAAAATAAGAGCTTTTTCAGAGCATTTCCAGATGTTTTGTGTTGAAAATACTATTTTTTTTCCTAAATTAAGCTCCCATGAAAGGCACATGAGTTAAAAGACCAAAGATGTTTCTGCTCATGGCACAAATCTCATATAGACATTGTTCTGACTGTGCTGCAACCACTGTGTCCACCACCTTCCTCCTTCCCCAATTCTCCTTTCGAGCCTCACTCTTGAAACTCAGCCCTCCTAATTAATTACTGGATTAACCAGCCTAGTACCAAGATGCTCATGGCTGGAGGTGGATCTTTGAGCATGGGCCCATTCTCAGTATGCCCAGCCTGGCATATTTCTGCCTGGCCAGATGGGTCCACCATCTGCTCCTGTTTGAAGGAAAACTTCCTGCAATTAGGGTTTTCCTCTTAACCTTTGTTTGGACAATCCTTTGCTTCCTCTTTCCATTATTTTTTTTCCTTTGCCTTTTCACCAAAATCACCTGAAGCACATCAGATTTAAAAAGCAAAGTGGCAGCTCCTCACAGTTTTGGTGCCCACCTGGCATGAAATGAGCCCTGGTCTGCACAAAGGCCACTGGTCTGGAGCAGCCTCAGCACAGCAAAGGGCCACTTTGTGGGAAAGCAGGAACACAGCAGAAATTATTTCTAGTCTATAGGCTTCAGAGAGTGTAGCAAAATCAATCCTAACACCAGGAGTCAAAGGTAGCCTTCTGCTGTTTGCTCAAGCTATTAGGGCTTGCTATATTATTTTTGAGTATAGAATTTATAGATCGAGACCAGCAGTTGATCTCTTCGAGACAAGTAAAAAATAATATATAAAGATGGAAAAATGGAGAGCTGATATCTAATCCTATGAAAATCTGCCACAGTTCTATATTTATGATAAGCCTATCCCAGCATATCCTGCTCAAAGTCGTACAGAAAATGTGTTGCTAACTACCAGGGAATCATTGATTTTTTAATTTTTCCCCTCATAGTGCTATTGCTTATCTGTGGTAGAAGCCATAACTTGGAGAGGAGGGGTAAAATTTAAAAAAAATAATAAAAAAATCAATATTATCATTATCAAGTGGTGACTACAGTTTATAGCAGCAATAATCTCCTTTGAAACAGCTTGCAGAAGTGCCAGTTGTCATCTACATAAGTATTACTGGTTTGGCCAAGTTATTAAATACAGATATTATTTGATGTTTTGGTCATTTTGATTTGGTGACCATCAATATTGCCCAAACCTCACACCTAAACCATATTTGGCCGAGAGCTGCAGTATTTGCTGTTGGCATTCTCTTTTCATTAGTGCTGAGAGTGATTCATTCCCTCATTAAGAGCAACTCATTTTTAACATCCTGTGCTGTTTCTTGCATTGTGTATTAGTGGAGTGCTCAGATGTGCCCCCAGTCACTAAGTTCTGTGCTTCCTCCAGTAATGCCTGCAGTTATGAGATCATTTGTCACTGGTGTTCCACACACACACGCCTTCTCCCCAGCGAGGCAGCTCCTGCAGGGTGATGCTTTCTCTCCAAACAGTTTTCTGAGCATCTTTTTCACATGTTGAAAGCACAGCTCTGAGATGCCACACCAGATTAGGGTGGTCTTTAGCAGGACTGGATCTCCAAGGCACAGAGCAGCTCTGCTCAGACAAAGTTTACTGTGCCAAAACAGAAATATTCTTATTTATTCAATGACTGGCAAATGCAAATGTAAACAGTCAGAGCTTCAGGCCTTCTCCTGTGTGCCTTGGAGAAAACCTGCAGAGTTAATTTGATTCACAGGTCTGTGGTACTTTGGAGGTACTTTTAGGTTTTAACTTATTTTAAAAGCTCCATCTGAAGGCCACAGGCATGCAGGTCACAAGTGTTGAATACATAGAGAAGAGTGTTGGTCTTCTAAAATGTTCTGTGTGTTCTCATAAATGAGAATTCATGACTGAATGTGTTTGCATCTATATTTATATCATAATTTCAAGAGGATGAATGACGATTTGGTTAGGAAAAGGATTAGGTCTGTGATTATTAATATACTGAAATCATAAAGGCAGTAGTTTTTTCTATTACCACGATATTCAAAACTTTCACTGAGGAAACATGAGCTGGTTTGCAGGCTTTCATTGTATCAGAATGTAGTGTTAATCTCTTTGCTGAAGTCCTAATCTGTCATTATGTGCTTTTTAAAGCATGTATGAAATGATAAATACTAAACTTTGCATGTTAGAACACCATCTGTTTAGCTTTCTTCCAAGGACCAGGAGAAGTGCTGCTGACCTGAGAATCCAGTCCGTTCTTGGAGATCTCACAGGTGGAACTAATTGGATGTAGAAGGAGCTGTCACTCCTGCCCTCCCCTTGCTCCCATCAAAAGGCCACCCTGCCTGCCAATCTAACTGCTGAGCTTCTATTTTTATCCTTTCATCTTTTCTGATATTGACTTAAAGCCTGTAATTTGTTACACCTGGAACTGCATCTATTAAAGTTAAGGTCTAAGAAACATGCCGAGGTCCACCCACGTAGAACCTATCACTTGTGCAGAAAGTGTTTCAGAGTCTTCCAAGTTAACACTAAATACATTCCAGATGCACATTTTCTCCAGGTAGATGGGTCAGGCACTTGCCACTCATGTTTGCAGAGGCAGGGCTTTACATCAAGTTGTGCTGCACCAATTTTGATTACTACACGCTAAAAGCAATATAAAATATTACCACAGGATTTTTTTTTCCCCTAGAGCAATACACAAAACCCTAATGAAATTGCATTTATAATATAACCTCAATAAAAATTTGAATAATGCTTGTTCCTCTGTCACAGCTGTTAAGAGAAAGAGCCCATATTGCATTTGAGACAGTGTGGAGCTGTATAGAATAAGTACATACAGTATGTGTCTTAAACTGTGACTATCAGGAGCTTTTAATGATTTAAGAAATAAAAATTTAAACTTATTTGTTTCTTATCCTTAAAAGGAGCATTATTCTGAACCCAGTCTCTCTCCAGAATCACCTACACCAAGCTGCTTGCTCTTGGTGCTTACAGAGAGATTCTGAAGCTGCAAATCACACTGCTTGTGGCTCTTGAATGGATTCTCTCCATCCCTTTCATTCCAGCTCTCAGTAGTAAGGCTGTCATCCTAGGTCCAGGCATTTCCAGAATCAGTGGGGGTTTTGGGCTGGCTTTGTGCAAATGATCAAATCCTCCTGGTTGTCATAACATGAATAATCCTAATTACATCCCCAGTTGTGATTAGGCAAATGCTTGTAGGAGCATTCACTCATTCTTGGGCACTGGTGTGAGCCCTGATCAGGTCCCAGAGCTGTGCTGGATAAAAGTTACACCCACACAAGCACCTCCCTGGTTTCCCTGGAACCCTGGGCAGATGCTCAGATGTGCTCCAAGTGGAGGGTGGAGAGAGAGGGGAAAAAAAAATAAAAGAGAGAAAAAAATAATCAAGATCTCAGGGTACACTGTGGTATGCTGCAAAATTTAGCCTGTGTGCAGCTGAAGAGATTGCTGGTGTGAATGGGAACTGCTGGCAGGAGGAAAGCCTGCAAGAGGAAGCTCTGCTTGTGTGCTTCCACTGCTGCTGCCAAAAAAACCTCCAAGTTTCACCATGCAACAGAAGTTTTTAACCACCTAAGATGCTTAAATGAAAGAGAAATGCATGAGGAAAAGCAGCAGTGATTTGCTATGTATCACCATTACTGCTAACATTAGACACTTACAAGGGACTTTCAGCTGAAGACCACAAGGTATACCACAAAATATTTCACAAATCATTAGGTAACTAATGGCAGAGCAGCCAGTGTGAATTAGGGAAGAGACTGAAGGGGTCACTTTGCTCATCCTTTGAGATGGATGCTGGTGGTGCAGCTCTGAAGCCACTAAAACAGCAGCAAAACAGCACAGGGAGTGGAATAAGACTTTATCCAGGCAGACAAGCAGACTTGCAGAGAGGATTTGGGAAGATGAACTTCAATTTTCCATGTGGGACTTCAGCCAAAGGCTCCAGGACAAGCACTTTTCCTTCAGCAGGACACACACTGAAATTATGTCAAAGTAATCTCCCCTGGCTTTCACTCAGACAGAACAGGCAGAAGAAATCACCTCCCCAAGCAAGAAACACAAAACACTTTTTCTAAATTTCTCAAGAAATGCAGTTTCAGATACATCTGGAATATTTCCCCTGACCATAAACCCACCCAACCTTTGTTCTTTAATCTCAAAACACAGCTCAGTATTCAGAAAAAGCTGTTTCCAAGCTAAGAAAGAGAAACATTTTGTTGAAAGAGAATAAAGTGTTGTGATTGTTATCAGTGAGATGCAAAAGGAGATCTGGGAACTATCTCTTCTTCCTGAAATCTTGCTGATGTGCTGATTCAGACAGAAATTGTCATCTACTGAATTATCAACAGGTGAGGCTCAGCCAGGTGTTCCAGAGCTCTGTTAGGACCATATGTTGCTTTGTGACAGGTGGGGAATCCTGCCTGGGATGCTTCCAAACCCCCAAATTCACCAGTAGCCCAACAGATGAAGTGAAAAAGGGGATTTGTTTGGGGTGCTGGGAAGGAAATTCAGGTTTTCCCTTTAAAGTCAGCTTGAAGATGTTTAAAAATAGTACAAATAATAAATGGAGGGTTTTTTTCAAAATATGCTTTCAAAGACTGAGCTTTCTTGAGAAGTAATACAAATACATGGGCATATTTAAGAAGATGATATGAACAGAGAAGCTGTTCATAAATATGATTTCAAAAATGAATATAAATTTGTGGTTGGTGTCACTGCAGATAAGGAATCAGTAAATTTACTACATCAGCAGGCACGAGGGAACACTGTCAGCCTTTTTTCCCCACATTGAGTAGCTTTCAGGAAACTAGATGATTTTCAAGGAGATTATGTATTTCGTAAAGGAGAGGAACATTCTGACAGACTGACTCCAGCGTGGTTCCAAAAGCAGTGACTGTAGCAGTACTCAGAGTTTAGCCTAGTTTAACATAGTGTTATAGCAACTGTGCAGAGCTGCTTCTGCAGATTGTGTTAAACTAAGCTTAGCACCACTTCTGTCATCTCTCTGGAGTCACTGGGCTCAGTCAAACCCTGCTCATGGTGCAGAGTGTGCTCTGCTCATCACAGACAGCCCATGCCATGGGGACACTCAGTCACACTTCTGGAAATACAAACCTGGGCATTGTTAGCATAAGCCATTATTCACAGAACTCACAGAACCACCAGGTTGGAAGAGATCTTCAAGATCATCCAACACCTCAGCTAAACCCTGGCACCCAGTGCCACATCCAGGCTTTGTTAAACATACCCAGGGATGGTGACTCCACCACCTCCCCGGGCAGCTATTCCAGAACTTTATCACTCTTTCCATAAAAAACTTTTTCCTAATATCCAACCTGTATTTCCCTTGATGCAGCTTGAGACTTTATTTCTGCCTGCCTTTTTTTTTAAATGAGAAACTGGTCATTCTATTCCTTTTCCTGTTCTTGGGTATCCCTTGCCTTCCCACCCCTCACATGGATTTTAAGTACCTGCACAGAGGCACCCCCAGAGCAGTGCAAGGGGGAGAGAGCAGCAGTGGCTGGTTGGGAGCAGCTCAGCTTGGCACAAACACCACAGATACTCACATTTGACTCAGCCTACCCATCAAGCTGAGATCCCCTGAGATTTTGTCTCTGAAGACATGCCAGACCGAATTCTCTGGTTCAGAGAAAGTCAGAGTTTAGAGAGGGGTCAGCTGTAATTTAAGCCTCTCTCAAAGTCCTCTGAGTGCAGCTTTCACTCACACAGCCCAGGACCAGGAGAATAAGCACAGGAAGGAGCCTAAATGCAAGGAGGTCTGAATTAATTAAAAACTGATATCTGCATGAATTCTGAATTTTGTCAGCTGCTCAGGGATGCCTCTGGGATAGCACAGGGATGGGATGCCCCAGGCAGAGTGCAGCCTAAGGCCATTTGGCACCGCAAGGCAGTCCCAGAAACGCCACTGTGGGGTCACAGCATCTGCAAACAATTCCAAAGCGCTGCAACCACTTTCCCTAAAGTGCCACTTAGTAAATATTTTTCCCCTCTTTTTGTATCTCTCATGTTGGAAGACTGCTCTGGACAAACACAGTGAAGATTTAAACCTCAGCAGGGAGAAAACCCATTTAAGTGGAAAGACCATCTTGGTCCTTGAACAAGTGGGCATAGATGTATTGTGTATAAATTTGGTCTGGAATTACCAGGAAATTTTAAGCATTAGAAGGCATTTAGCCATAGGATCAGCCTCCAACAGCAGCCACTGGAAGTGTCCTGCCAAAGAACACATTCTCACAGCTGATCAAAAATCCCTAAGTAATCAGAATGGAAGGTTCAGGAAAGGATCCTGGGCTCACTTCTGTCTTAAAACCAAGAAACTGCTCTTGGAGAAGGCCACGGAGAACCTGGCCTTCCTGGCAGTGTCAGGGCACCATTCCTGGAGGTGTCCAAGGAATGGCTGGATGTGGCACTCAGTGCCATGGTCTGCATGACAAAGTGGTGATCAAAGGCTGGTCTCAATGATCTCAGAGGTCCTTTCCAACCTGAATGATTCTGTGACAGCTGCCCCAGGGAAAGATGAGATGAAGGACATGTCTGTGCCGGGGATGTGCCACAGCAGAACCTCAGAGGTCTGTGCTGTCTCTAAGGACAGAACAGACACCACCCAACCCTACTTTCAAGAATGGGAGTCCTAGAAAAGGAACATGCACCAAAATGTGAACCTCAAAGCTCATGGAGGAGGAGTTAGCAGAGCCTGTGTGTCCTTCAAGTCCCCAAGCCCATGGGCTGTGCTCTCACAGCTGCCAGCTACACATCCACAAGGAAAGGTCTAACCAGATGAGCAATAAGGCATGAGAGCAATTTTTCTTCCTTACTCAAACAGTGCAGGCTATTGCTGACACTGAATAGCCTTGGATCAGCAGTAAGGTGAAAATGTGCAACTTACACAAAAATACAGGCACCTATTTCCTTTAAAACTACAGGTTTAAACCTCCAAGTACAAAAGGTATTTTGCCCCTTTTTCTCATTAAGCTGTACAGCTCTCATCTTTCTGCTAATCAAAATGCTGTGCTGATTTAACAGTGTCACTGTGTTCTGTGAAAAGCTTAAGATAGCTCTTTTATCACCAGTTGGAACACCAGTGACTTGAAATTAGTTGTATACATGTAGGGGAAAACAGACTGTCTGTCCCTCTGCCAGAACAAACAACTCATCTTCATCTGACTGCATAGAGTAGGGGTAAGCAATCCGTAAGGAGGAAGAAGTTTTAGGATCTTAATAGCTGTGGGATGGCTGACTCAGCTTTTTGACATTCTGGTTAGAAAAAAATAATTAAAAATCATAGAATCTATACAATTCCATCAGCTGAAAAGCAAACCAGCCCTGCTAGCAGTAAACCTCAGCTCTCTGTAAGAGTTCAGGTCTGTGTCCCCTTTTAGTCAGGCTTGAAAAGGAAGTGTGAGAAAGCAAGGTGAATTATTTGGGCTAGCTTTTATGCCTGGGTTTGTTTTATGAGGCACACAGTTGTGCTAAGGAAAGATGTATAAATCCTTGGGGTTGGGGGTACCAGCTGCCTGCCTCCTGCCCACACCTGCCACCCTGCTACCTGCCTGTGCATCCTGCCTAGGCCTCCTCTTGGGAAAACAGGAAAGTTTATCTTCTGTCTCTACCCTAATTGTTTCAGTTTTCTTAACTGAAAAAATATATATTTTTCTTTTTTTAAATCCAGTTCTAGTAAGAAAACCAAACAAACCTGTTGTCATAGCAACAGAATCCCCCAGCCCCCTCTGATCACAGAGAATCCCTCAGGGCTCACCCACAAAGACAGGGATGGGCAGGGAGGGCTCCCACAGCTGGGGAGGGTTCATTTACACCATTATTCCAGGAGCTGCTGGCTCAGAGCCCACCCAGGGGCTCCAGAGCACTGATCCCAAAACCCAGTGCCAAGTGGACACATGACCCAGGACTAGGAATGAAAGGGGAAAATGAATGAAATTGGATCTGGTTTTCCCCAAGTGGAAAGGGTC